TACTTTTTAAACGTATATTTTAATAGCTCATATTTTATCAGTTTATTATTCTAAACCAAAATAGCAAGTAAGTAAAATGTCACCAGTATCAAAGTTGCCTTGCTAAATTCGTTAATTTGAAACCCCCAATGTATTAAATATATGTATATGTTGTATATATTATATATATTTCTTCTTTATAAAAGTCTTCTTCGGTCTGTACAAGAGGAGCGCTCCAGTTAGGCAGATCCGCTCCACCGCGCAACAGCAGCAAAATCAAAAGAACGGAAATACTTCCGTTATAATTTTCCCGCAAAAGCTTCACGCTAGCAAATAATAGGCAGGCAATGGTGATGTCATTCGCTGTTTTCCTGCGTGATTTTATTCCATGAACACATGACACGTCGATAGTAAGTTATTGTCTAACACTTCTAATTAAAAATATTTAGCTATTTTATTGTTTCTAACACATTATGATACCCACTAATACTAGTGATGGATGTGCACTTCCACGCTTTATAAATCGCATAACATGGAAACGGAAAGCTTAAAATATTGACGTCGTTAAAAATTATAAAAAAATTCATCGATATTGTGGTGGGAAGTGAGTCTAAACTACGTGAGGTAGAAATGACCCTGATAAAGACACTTCGTACTGCCGAAGATACGAGTTCAAGGCTTACAGAGAACGCCGCCAATGAGGCTGCCAAAAAAGTGGCAGACGCTGAAATGAAAGCCCGACAAATAATAGCGGAGGCCGAAAACACCGCAAGTCAGCTCGTAGCCGATGCTGAACAAAAGGTGAGCGATATCAATAGGGCCGCAAAAATAGAGTTCAATGAGCAAGAGGCCAAATATCAGGCATTGGAAAGTCAAAAGGCAAAGGTTTTGGCCGAATTAAGGAATATTTCAGGGCAAATAAATGAAATAATAGGAGCGCAATGATGATGTTATTCGCTGTTTTCCTGGGTGATTTTATTCCATGAACACTTGACTTCACGCTAGCAAATAAATGAAATAATAGGCACGCAATGATGATGTTATTCGCTGTTTTCCTGGGTGATTTTATTCCATGAACACTTGACACGTCGATAGTAAGTTATTGTCTAACACTTTATGATTGAATAATATACGTTTAAAAATTACTTTTTAAAGACAACACTTCTAAAGAATCCAGTGTCTCCAATGTTAAATATGTACAATGAATTTCTCATTTTATTTTCGAATATTAAAAAATTAATTTTTCAACATTTTTTAATATAGAATTTTTTTTTCAAAATTATTTATTCTGTTAATTGATTCATGCATTGCCTCTGACTTCACACAAGTGTGCAAATTTTCAGATCAATTGGACAGGTAAAAGTGTGTTAAATATCAGTTATAAGATTTGTAGATGACAAAATTATTTTTTCAATTTTTTTAATATTGAATTTTTTTTATTTTAAAACTAATTTATTTTGTCATTTGATTCAAGCATTGTCTCCAACTTTACGCAAGTGTGCAAAATTTCAGATCGATAGGATAAGTAGAAGTGTGTTAAATTTTGATTATGAGATTTGTAGCAGACAGACAGACAGACAGACAAACAAGAAGTGAAGTTAAAGAGAAGTGTTGTAAAATATTTAGCTATTTTCTTGTTTCTAACAAATTTTGATACAACCTAATACTAGTGCTGGGCCACGCTTTATAAATCGCATAACATGGAAACGGAAAGCTTAAAATTTTGACGTCGTTAAAAATTATAAAAAAATCATCGATATTGTGATGGGAAATGAGGTGCTATACACATTTAATTAAATGTAAAATGAGAGTTCAATTCAAATTAATGCCCTATCAAGGCATTAATTGACGTTATCGTGACCCAAAATGAAATCAGTGCAAAAAACAGTCATGCACCCTTTCAGAAATAAAACAATTTTCAGATTTTTTCAGACCCGTGTAATCAAACTTAAACTTGTAAGAAAAGCAGACTGGGTTACCAGTTTTTCCCGGTGCATTTTTGCGGTCGTTCCTGAGTGACGGATAAATGATCGTTATACGTGTACGTTTGTATGTGGCGAATATTTGTTTGATTGGCGAATAGTTGACGAATAATTGATCGATTGCGGCGAATAATTGATCGATTGCAGGAGGCGAATAGTCGATTGTATATAGATCGCACGTGGTGAATAAGTGATCACTCGCACGTGGCGAATAATTGATCGTATGCGTAAGGCGAATAATTAATCGCGTGCATGTGGCGAATAGGTGATCGCTCATACGTGGCGAATAAATGATCGCTTGACCGTGGCGAATAATTAATCGTATGTGTATGGCGAACAATTAATCGTGTGCATATGGCGAATAAATGATCGGGTGCACATGACGAACAAGTGATCGATCGTATGTGGTGAATAAGTGATCGTTTTCTTGTGACGAAAAAATGACCTGTATGATTGATATAGCCTGCATGTGACTGATCGTTTGCATCTGGTGAATGTCGTATGTATGTCGTGTGAGGCTCCGCTAATTTTGTTTATAGAGACCCAATGACCCAATCTACATGCGGTGTACGACGGCTGAGTTGCCCATCCTTTGTTGCGGAATTAAGATTCAAAGTCACCATCAAAATGAGGGCACCATCACATGAGGGCAAAAAGTGCTCTTTTCTTTACATTAATTTAGAACATATTTTAAAAATCAGTATAGCACATCCAATCATTTTAATCAACGTGGAAACTATTTAGCCCTCTTTTCGATCAATATTTTCATTTTGGTAACCATTTAGATGAAAATTTATTCTATGTTTTATCAATCCGAAAATCAGTCTACGGCCTTCTAAAAAAAACGAGCTGAGAATTAGACTTTCCTCAGTCGGACTCACAGAGCATTAATTATTGTTAGAAGAAATGCAGTAATGAAGGTTTGGCCAATGCATCTATACTCGTTCGATGTTTTATGAAAATTTGTGACAAATTCTGCATAAATTCCAAAATTCCAAATTGTAATAGTTAGATGAAGTGTGGATTGTTTTTAAATTTATATGCGAAGTCAAATCTACTTTAGATTAGGAAATGACGGATCCGTTGCAACGTGTCATATGAACTAAGCATTTAAATAAAAGAAAACTCCAAAATATTCATTTTGTCTGCAGTGAAAACTAGTCGGAGTCCAGCTCCATAATCAGTACAAAAACTTCAGTAATACGATTTTGTCCAAAATAGGACCTATAAATTGTCTAAGGAATGCAAAACCTATTGCATAGGTGTTCAACGGTTTCAAGTGGATACGAACTCATAACATCGTTAACTCAGGTGACGTCATAGTTTAAAGGAGGTGAGAGTACTACGGGTAGCTATCGCTGTATAAGCTATAAAAGTTTCACCACGATGGTATGCTGCTAATCTATCCACCGCAGCTATTAATAAATTCACGTCCAATTGTCACTCCGAAGAAGAGGATCAACAATGTTTGAACCGTAACCGATGACGTGAGCTCTCGGTACAGGAGCAGCCACTTAAAGTGCTACTTTCGAGATGCTACTTCAAAATCCCGAATAAATTTATCGAACTGAAACTTTAAACGCGTGCTGCGTCTAAGCTTTACCAGGATTTCTAAGTAGAAGCCGAGCCAACTGCAACAACCAAACATGATTGAGGCTGCATCTTTCCATCCCAGAAGAACCGGTGCGGTACTCAATAGTACTCTATCGTCCCCTTAGATAATATAATTATTAGAAATGATACATGAACGGGCGTTGATGCACAATGGCAAGTGCGGATCCTAGGCCATCAAAGTTCGTTGATGCATCATTGCAAAACAAACAGGTTTTGTATTCTTCAAAGTTCATCTTATCAACAAATGATCTATATACTCGATGAATCGATCCTGAACTTTTTTCACCGCGACATTGACAAATATACACGGCAAACTGTTTAAACGTTGTTAAGGCGTCAGAAAACTTAATTTCTTTTATAAATGTTACGAACTTGTTCAGTCGGAACTAATTGATGACAGATGTGTTTGGTGAGAGCTTTCAAAATAATTGGCTCCTGTTCGTGGAAAATTTAACCGATTTGCGGTAGCCATACGAAACACATAACGGTATATTTTTGTGTCAGAAACTGGCGATCATTTTCTGGATTAATAACAACAGGACAAATGTCAATTTTTTTTCAATTGAAAAGATGTGATTAAGTCGACGTAAAAACATTAGAGAAATTCAATTTTCACCAGAAAATACGTCAATTAAATTTATGTTGATTGATTCACATCTGCAAATGGACACGATCACGTTCAATGCCAGTTTTTATTACAACACTTCTCTTTAACTTCACTTCTTGTTTGTCTGTCTGTCTGTCTGCTACAAATCTTATAATTGAAATTTTAACACACTTCTACTTATCTTATCGATCTGAAATTTTTCACACTTGGGTAAAGTCGGAGACAATGCATCAATCAAATGACAAAATAAATTATATTAAAAATAAATTTTTTTTTTCAATATCAAAAAAATTGACAAAATAATGTTGTCAGCTACAAATCTTATAACTGATATTGACACACTTTTACCTGTCCAATTGATCTAAAAATTTGCACACTTGTGTGAAGTCGGAGGCAATGCATGAATCAATTGACAGAATAAATTTTTTTAGATAGACTGTATTAGAGAAAACTGAAAATTTTATTTTTAAATATTCGAAAATAAAATGAGAAATTCATTGTACATCTGTAAAATTGGAGACACTGGATTCTTTAGAAGTGTTGTCTTTAAAAAGCAATTTTAAAATGTATATTATTATTACAACACTTCTGTTTAACTTCACTTCTTGTTTGTTTGTCTGCTAGAAATCTTATAATCAACATTTAACACACTTCTACCTCTCCAATCGATCTGAAATTTTGAACACTTGCGTTGAAGTTGGAGACAATGCATGAATCAGTTGACAGAATAAATAATTTTGAAATTTTCATTTTTTATATTAAAATAATTGAAAAAGTAATTTTGTCTGCTACATATCTTATAAAAATCGATATTTAACACACTTCTACGTGACCAATCGCTCTGAAATTTTGCACACGCGTAATGTTGGAGACAATTTGTCTTTAGAAGTGTTGTCTTTAAAAAGTAATTTTTAAACGCATATTTTATTCCATTCCTGCTTAGTAATATATTATATTTGCCTTACTAAGAAGCACCTAAGACGGAGTGATCATAAGCAATGAGTGTACTTTTTCCACTCCTGCTTAGTAATATATTTGCCTTACATATAACTCAATTTCAAGTGGAAATAATGATCACTGGCTCAAGAAAGTATATTTACACGTAATTATTTCATTCCTGAAAATTAAAAGATCATGTGACAGGGATGAAAAGTCGAGATTAACGTAAATCTCCGTAAAAAGGGGTCCATCTCATTTAAGCAACTAATAAAATTATTGGGTTGAAAATTGAACGAATCTGAATACGCAAAATATTCTAAACTGTTCTATAATTTATAGAAAGGTCTTACAACACAAGAAGAAACGAAGTGAAATTAATAATATCATTGACCAACATCTAAATCTAATCTTTTTATCCCTTTATACTAAACAAATTTCGACTTATGGCTGGAGTAAACTGGAATCCAACCAGAAAAGATTTTATTGTTCACGGTGCACAACGACTAATTCTAAGACTACTGCCGCGCTAATCATGTCTCGGATGAAAATAAATAAAGTAATGAAGAGTTTAGATTAGACCTCTTTTACACGTTATTTCTGTTTCTTGCATTCCTTCTTCGTCGTGCGCAGACGCCATTATTTATCATGTATGTCACCATGCACTGGACTCCGGCCGCAGTCTCCCGCACGGTAGATCCGATTTGTGCTTCTGGCAGCAGGAAGCCATAATGGCCGGTGTCGCGGAGCTCGATGGTGTAGGCGTGCTTGGCTCCTAAAGCCCCATAAGCCCAGTCGTCCGTGGCTCCGGAGGCAAAACCCAACATGGCTCCAGAGCCCCCCAATGTGTAGTCAACCTGGCCTTTGGACACGTGCTGAACGGCTTCCAGAAACCTGCGGCCAACTCGGTGCAACATCTTGGCGTTCTTTGGAGGGTCTTTAGTCCATCCCCAGGGATAGAGCACTGATTGTCCGTAGCTGTGGAAGGTGATAAATAGGTCGAGTGGACCGACTCTTTCCATGAAGTATTTCAGGCCCGTAGTCTCAGCTTCACTGAAAGGAACCTCGCCCATGTAGAGCTCCGAACACGGGTTTTGGGAGGCGCCCACACCCCATTTAAGATCCCAGTTCCTGTTGAGGTCAACTCCATTGCAGCGATCAGGCAGAGCATTGTCGTTCACACGTCTGTTCTTTCTCCACAACCTGCAAGTAGGAACACACAACAATATATCAACTTACATCGTAAGTGGTGATAAGCGAATTTCACCAAATACGAATTCGGAAATGCGAAGGTGAAATTTCTACATATATGTATATATTTATGCCATGGCAACGATGAAAAATGCACCGGAAATGTTCCCATTCTTCTGACTATAAAGAAATATACGAAATTACTGACAAATTGCGGCATAAAATAATCAAAATAATTTACGAATTTTCAGTATCATATTGGAAACGAACGCAGGTTGAGAGTTGGCAATAACTAACCTGGCCCGGCCGCCGGTGAAGGTGTGCGCGTATCCGTCAGGGTTGGCGACGGGTACGAAGTACCACTCCGTGTGTGGCAGGATCGTGCGCTGCCAGTCAGGGTTGGTCGCCACCTGGTGCAGGATGAAAGTCGTCGCCGCGGGGGATATCCATTCGCGGGCATGGATTCCTGCAGTTATTAATTGCGTTAGTGCTTAAATTGAGAACAAATTTTGAAATGTATCAGTAATCGATCACACAGTATTGGTTTACGATTTCGGAGAAATTATTCATTTGTAAAGGTCGAAGGCTTATAAAAAATTATGGAGGGTATCTGATTATCAGCCATGGGAGAATTTAAGTAAGTTATTCGCATTGGTCACTCATTTCAGCATGCGAGCTTATGAGCAACATTTCCCTAAAAGATAAAAGTTGCCGTAAAAAAGTTTCTTTATCAATCGAAAAAAGCTTATAGAGTGCCAAATGCTTGTAACGAATGCATGAACTCGACATCCCACGGCACGATTCCGAACATCTAAAAATCTGAGCTAATTGCTGAAATTCGGGTTTTACCTTAATCTCAAAACTGATTTCAGCGGTATGTTTAGCAGAAATAGAAGCTGTTTCTAAGGCATTTCTCGAATTAAAACAATCTTCCGCAGAGGCCACACCGTATACAGCGTAGTGAGAACAGGGGAAAAACTTCCAATGAGCAATTGAGCATTTAAGGAAGATATAAGCTAGTAAAACTTCAAGATCAACACGCTATTGCATTAAGATGGATTCATCAGCGCTTGGCTTGGTTCCACACACTGCCCACCTCCCTCAATCCAGATCCTCTTCTTCGGACCGGTGGCGCCTCGGTCGTTGACCCTGACGACGTAGACAGGTCTGCCCTCCTGCGTGGTGGCCGCGGAGAGCACCTGCACAACGCCGTTGGTCGAGGCGTTCAGCCACCCCAGGTAGCCCTCAATGTCCTCCAGCGCGTGGTACGAGTTCCAGTCCATTCGCTCGACTGCCAGTAAAAACAATTTGAACTTGAAGGTTGAGTAAAAAAATCATGTGTAGCTAATTCGTGTATGCATTGTCGTGAAAGATTCAGATCAATTCAGATTTTAAAGTATATAATAAAACACGTCCAAATTAAATACGATTTTCAAGGAGATGAGCCTCTCGAATACAATATTTGTTATGATAGCAAAGAAGTATGCGTCTCGTCGGTCGAGAGAAAAATAGGTCTGTCGAGCGAAAAATGTTTTTTTTTCGAGTTAAAATGGGACTTGGAAACGTGGAAAGATAGTTAAAATGTCATGATTAGACTTCAGTTGACATGGTTAGAGTTAAAGTTGAGAGCGCAAAGAAAAACCATTAAAACCTGAACATCGAAAAACGAAAATTCGAGTTGTATGGTGAGAACAATTAGATACTAGAAATAGCAAAGCACATACGTATCGAATGCTGGCTCATACTGCATTGCAACTGCAAGTATCTGGCTTATTCTGAATTAATCCGTGATTTACCTTAATTAACTTTTATTTTTTGGGTCAAGTCAATTTGTGATTAAATTTTCTTTCAAGAGATCAAAACTACCTTGGCAACACATAACCAATAATCCAAATAACCTAACACAAACCAATCAACTAAATTACGTGCATTTCAAAATCATACAATGACGGCTCTGAATTCATCTGTCTTACAGGATGGCACAAGATGAACTCGTTACTTACTTTCTCTTTTCCTCCTGCCCCTCATCTTGTGCTCAGTTTCTGCAGCAACGAGGCTCAAGAGATCCTCTACTGCAACATTGTACTCCACCTGCTCCTCCTGCAGCGCCGCCTGCACCTCTGGTACGTCTTCCTCCCGCACCATCACCTGCCACACAACGCTCTGAATAACTTCTGATATTTGTTCTATTTATACAGGCGCTTATGTGCACATGCAAGAAAGACGCTATTCAGGATACTGAGGTACGACGTACAGATAAGTGCACACTCAACGGCATAAACGTTATATTAACTACCTACCCCTCATCAAACAAAATGTTAAATATTATCTTTAATGAACAATTACATTCACATTTACCTTGAATCAACTTATATTAAATTACATTCAGAGCATGTATACATTAAGCTTTTCATGATTGTAATACGCGGGCACATCTCTTGCATTATACAGTTTCTCTATTTCTAGGGCTCAAGCTACAGATCCATGTCACTTATCTCATTGTGCCTTGGGGTAGGTTTTAATTTTATTAGTTGGGTTGATTATGGTAGATTATTTGTTGTCTTCTGCACAAGTTTGTACCAGAATATAGGCACAGCGGAAATAAAAGTTTATTAAGACCTCGTGTTTCATTACGAGGACATCGTCTAGCATCTGGCTGCCTCGTGGTGCTCGGCTTAGTTTAGCCACGTAGAAGTTACCATGATAAGTCAAACCACCCCGCGCTGCAACGCAACTGCGTAACCCTACGTTTACTTCAAACACTTCCTAGCTTGAATGTGCAATGCTAATGAAGGACTTGAAAAAAATGTCATCAAAGACTTAATAACTGGAAAATTAAGTATAATTTCCTCAGACACGCACCTCGCAAAAAAAGCCCCATTCAACAATTCTGGTACACTCCGAACAGCCTTGCACCAAACCTTTACCGTCTAAAAGCCATAGAGTTTTGATTCCTTGCTGCCTTTTACCCCATAGAAAAAATGAATGAATGATTGGGATACAAGTTAAAAATGAGTAACAAACCAAGGATGAGGTAGCATCGTCAGCCCACTTCTCGATGAGGCCCTGCAGGAGGAGGTGCTGAAGACTTGGGTGTTGTAGGGACGCTCCCACGCGCCACAACTGCACGGGGCGGTCCCCGTCACTCACTAGTGTGTTCTGCACATACAAAACATTGATTTAGCCATCGTAAATAAAAACGGAATGTGTTAATAAAATGGTCGAGCATTGAGAGGTACAAGCAGATAATTTCACCCAACATAATTAATTACAAATTCTCCCGCGAATATTTTTTATCCAAGATGGAATACAAATCTAATAGGAAAAGAACGAGACAAACAACATGAAAACCGTCCAGCGATGTGGGTGGACACACGTTTCGTGTCATATGTTGCCAAGATCCAAAAGCGAACTATAAAAACTAGATACAGTGATTTATTTCTAAATTAAAAATATTTGACACCATCATCTCACTATTCACACATATTTTCAGAAGATAAAGAGAAAGCGTCCAGCCGTAAGCCGATTGCCACTAATGTAGGCTACAGCAGTGAACAGACGCAAGTGTGCCGCTCAGTGAGCCGGATGTGCGGCCCAGCATCTAGCCCGACTGATCACTGAACTCCAGCATTTATAGTACTTGTAATATTTCAACGAGATTAGAACATTTCAACGCTTGTCCGAAGTATTTGCATATCATCAGAAACTGCCCGGAAAACCTACTTATGTTAAATCATTGAAGGATTAATAAATAAATTAACAGTCACTGTCTCAAACGTTTATATCTCAAAAGAGAAGCGTTATAGAAGTTGTATTGTAAATGTAACAGTAAAACTCGTCAATTTATTGGTTCGGCAGCACTAGCTGAGTCAAGCGACAGGATTGCAGCAAGCTGAGCCGTGAACAAACTGATGGAAGGATGTCGCTCATCAAGCGCATATTTCCGTCATCGCCCATTGGAACAAACGAGTAAGGATTGAGCACAATGCCGGTGCCGCGTCACTGAATAATAAACGACAGGGTGACAACATAAATGAGTGGGATTGTAAGCTTAGATTTTTCCGTAGATTACTTGTCGAAAGGTACACTGAATCCACTTGTGGTGACTTCGATGGGATTTACCGAAATTCAGTCTTTCCTTCCAATATATTTTACGCTTTCGGTACAGTGTGTACGTACCTTATTATCAGCCATCACGCAGGGTATAATTTTATATAAGAGAAAAACAAATCGTCTGAACAATTGAGCGAATCTTCTTTCAACAACAAATGCACAATATTTGCCGGTAGATTTGTAAGCAATTCCACAAAATTTATAATTTTCTAACATATATTTCAATTTTAATATTGCAATTTGCAGAAAACGTGCAATTTCCAGGCTTGTGCCGCCATGACGCAGTTAAACGGCCTGCAGGAAGTTGCGACACAATCATGTGAGCTCACGTCGCAATTAAAAAGCAGGAAGTTCAACTCTGTCCAGCCAAACCGAGTACTTAGTGATAAAATCTCCAGCCCTCATACGTGGAAAAGGGCAGCTTACGTTTACAGTTTGAAAACTTTCACTGGAGGTAAAAACAAAGGATTTCCGCAGGGTAGGTTGCTCAAGCACAGAATTTAAATTACAGCCTCCTTTCCATTAAAGCACAAGCGTGTACTAATAACAGAAGTGCAGCGAGGAAAAACTAAATTGCTGTAGGCAACACAAAAAACGAGAGTGAGTTCGAATTGAACATATATTAAAGAACATTCTCATACATTCGCTAGCATGAAAAAAGCCTTTCTAAATTCTGCTTATATGTGTTTTCCGACAGTCAAACATTTGAAGTATCAGAGAACAAATCCAACTTCATTTTTTACAACATCCTTAATAACTTTTGATGATAGTCCAGTTGATAATAAAATACGATGAGAATTAATTCAAATAGGAGGCTTTGAAATCGCATTAGCCTCATAGAGCAAGTTGTGCTAGCTCTCGAATTTAAAAGGATTTTGCGCTGTAACCATGGTTCACAAATAATAATTATCATTATATACGTCGTAATTCGCTGTCAATTAGAATGAAACTTCAAGCATATGGGAATTATTATATTTATAGTATCAACTGCTTTGGAAGGCTATACAAAATTTCGGTAGCTTTACTTGGCAAGCTTTTGGCTACAACTAATGTTTTGCACCTGCGTAGGTTTCCTAAAAACAACTATTTATCACTCACATTAGTAACGGGGCGGATGAGACGTGCAGAGATCGGTGTAAAGATCTGCAGTAACACGAGGATGAACGCGTAGCAAGCCATTGCTGGAAATGATAAGAAGTAAACATTAGAAAACAATAAGAAGACAAGATTACCTGCGCATCATTATAACATAAGGGTGATTTATAGTACAAATAGCAATCCGAACCAGAGTCACAATTAGCCGACGCATCTATTTTACGACGTTTTTCTTAGTTTCGTTTCGTCTCTGTCTGTCATCAAAAATTCAAACGTTACTATAGAGCACTTCAAAAGATCCTAGAAACTTGAAATTTGGCAAGCATGCTTATGCTGCCTAACAATTCAAGATTTGATCATCAGAAGTAATAAGTTTAAAAATGTTGTTTTTAACAAAAAAATTCACGTTTTGGAATCGAGTTTTTTTGTCGAACATTCAGAGTTGTCATGCCTGCAAAATGATTTGAATTGCTAAAATTGCTAAACTAAAAAGTAGAAAATGAAAAAATAATAAAAAAAACATTAAAAAAACACGTTTTTCTGGTGGTTACAAAACTAAAAACAATGAAATAAAACAAATAAAAAACTTTTTTAAAAACCACGTTTTTTAACGGGCAAAAAAGAAAAACAATAACTCTTACATAACATTGCATAACATTCTACATAACTTTAATGTTATGTAAGAGTTGATGTTTTTCTTTTTTGTCCGTTAAATAAACGTGGTTTTTAAAAAAGTTTTTTATTTGTTTTATTTCATTGTTTTTAGTTTAGTAACCACCACAAAAACGTGGTTTTAAAAAATGTTTTTTATATTTTTTATTTATTCAATGAATTGATGTCAATAGTTTCGTAATAAAGCGATTTGAATCGATGAAACATATAACCGTAAGTTAATCTATAACTCATAATAGACTTGAACAGCCGACGCACATCATGACAGAACAAATTAGCATCAATTTTAGCAATACAATGCTTCTAGCATCGACCTATGAGTAGATAAGCTGCTACCATGACTTAAATGAACAGTAAAATAAGAACAAATACTCTGTATATAGTCAATTAAAATTTTCATAAGCATGCGTGCAGTAAAACGGGCAAAAATGATTTAAATTTAGCTCAACATTTAACGGCTTGTCAATTGAAGCCACAACGAAGACTGAACGAAGAGAACCGTCACTCTCCTCTTAGTCGAGCTTAAGTGAAACCGTAACTAATCTCTTCACTGTTGAACAGGTCGCATCCCACAGCCAATACGTGAGGCGACGCAATATTCTTAAAAACGTTATCAAGCAGAGCGCACAGCAGTTTCTAATTGCTACGAAAAAAACGGGAACGTGGTGTAGAGAAATCTTCCATGAAACACCAAATGCTAGAGATTTTATCCATACCAATTGACTGGGATGCGAAGACTGAGTAGAAATTGAGATTTGAAATTGAGAAATTGAATTTAATGTCTGACTTTGAATCTTGCATTATAAAATGATTGAATATACTTTCCATATTGTCGAACTGACGATAGAGCTGGACTCCGAAACGTTTTCGTTTAAAGAGATATAGTGAATTTCTGTGCTATCTTCTTTGTTCTTAAATTCTTTGTTAATTTGCGACCTAGGCAAAGCAATTATGTAATTTTAGTCTTCTTACAGCTATTATGACATCAGGAAAACCAAGATTACACATAACTAACTTTATTCCGGCAGAGTGCACTAATATTTTTTTATATGTTGGCCCCTCACATTAGATGTTTAATTAGAATATTATTGAGTTTAATAATGACGGATCACATGCGGAATGAAGGCCATGAATGAGCTGGTCACGCCTGGCCTGTCGTGCGAAGGAAGCTGCCCACTCCACGCAGCTAGACGTGGGAGGACCCAATTTAAGTCGTCTTTTACTTCCTATTAATTAGCTGGCACAGCATGGATATTTCTAATGCAGGAGAAATTCTACTGAGCTTTTGCATCACGGTGAGCTCGGCCTCAATTAGCGACAAAAATTAGGACAAATTCAAACGTTTGTGAAATTAGGGGATACTAAGATGAGAAATACCGGACAAAAGGAGCTTTAAATTTCAAAGAATTTACATCTTTTTGCCATGTTACAGGAATACGTACATGTTATTAATTACTTCTTTAATAATGTTTACATTGACCATTGACCTGGCTTACACTTTGCCATCATTATTGATTTCACATATTTTTTTCTCAGAAAATTTCCAGACATCACCCTTAACTTCCGTGCATCTTGCTGACTGATCAACCGAAAAATCCAGTCGCTATGTATGAGTTGATGTGGCAACGCTCATGAAAGTACTGGTATGACTCCGCCATTCACCAAAAATAAAATTTTTTATGAGTACGGTATCCTGTTTCGACAATTTAACGATAATCACTAAATTCTGGCTTTTCTCGCTTGGCACCAGCCGGTCATTTTGAGAAAAGGAATCAGAAGCGCAGTGGATTATACGCCACTAACAAAATTTTAATATGCTCGTATCAATGCTTAACTGAATTATTGCCGAAGTGAGACTGAAACATCTTTCCTCTAGGCATCATTCATACGAGTTAGAAACCAAGATGATTGGTGTTAGTTTGTAGCATCATAAGCTTGGTATCATGGATACCATGCACATTTTAAATGCCCCCTGCCGGTTCGTAGTGGTTAAGATTGGTTCACTATATACGTACCATCGCAGTTACAGAACATTTCCCAAGCAGAAAAAAGATTAACTTGCCCGTTTAATCTGCGAGCTGAACTGCAAGGTTAAAGAGTTACAAATCATCCAAAGTCTTCCAAGTAATCTCGGGATTTCTTATAATACAGAAAAACTTGAGCGCCACGCACAAAAATGTCGCAGTTCACAAGAAATTGATGAATTAGCAGGCGTTTCAAAGCTTCGATATTTCTAAATTGTAGTTGAACTTAGAACTTGTGCCGGCAGCCATTATTACGCGCACTCTTATCTTGTGAATAAATAGCGAGAATTGAGTGAAATGATAAGAAATAAGTGGATACAGAAATTTTAATTTCATATAATACTTAGGAAAAATGTGATGCATGAGCTATTCTTGCTGACGCGTCAGATTTGCGGAGGAGTTTGTTTACAAAAAGACTTGCGCAAGTGTCGCATTTACACACAGATACACGTGGCGCAACACTGGAGTGAGGGAAATATAAATGAATGTGGAATTAAATTAAAGAAAATGAATAAGTGCTGGGTTATTGCGGACCTAACACACATGAATATTTAGCTGCGTGATTGAAGAAACGGTAAAAAATCAAAACCTACTCCTAATTTTCCATTACTTGCGGCATCAACGTTGTGATTCGAATAAGAAAAAAGACCACCTTTTGTGAAATTTCGGTTACTGAGGCGCAGACTTACAGCTGCGACATAATCCTGGCTAACGAACAGCCATGCAATAGACGATGTGGTTGAAACATGATCATGATGAAAACTAAAAATTGTTGCGGGATAGCATCGAATTTTACACAACCTTACCTACTCCAGGGTTCGGTAACCAAACGAAACTGCTCCCACAAACAAGCCGATGCGAGTTTCCCATGGGAAAACAGTATTCAGGCTCCCCCATTGAACATTGATGCTGTAGATCACAAAGAGCACGAATCTGGAATATAGCGCCGTCACGCCGCAGTGCCAAAGAAAGTCTTCGCTGAGTTAAGACTACAAGGCACCATACACGCTGCGACTTGGATCATCAACTGATCAGTCAGGAAGAACCACTTCCTGACTGATTTAGTGTAGACTGTGATGGAGGAGCAAAATCAGTCAATTTACTTCAAAGTTTCAAGTGTATTTTTAAACTACACCAGAAACATTAATCTTGTAATTAGAAGTTTACCTAAAATCTGTCCAGTTAATTAAACAAATCATAGTTTACCATTTCATGGTTCAAAACCCTTAACATGAAGCGTTGCCGTCAGTTGCGAGAGATTATTGCCCTCACAATGCCTAACGCATCAGATGCGCTCCTATTGGCTAATAAGAAAATAACTAATTATGCAAACTCCAAACAATCGCAAAGCAGATACGGAATTTATCGACAGAAGCTTGGTGATAGCTTCGTAAACAAAACGTGTCATCAAGGTCTAGGGAACGCAAAAATTAATGCGCGCTTGAAAATTTAATGACTTGACTTAATTTACCGGATGATACGTACACGCCTACAACTTCAGATGCCATGGAGGTAATTAAACCGTAATGTACTAATAATCAATTGCAATGAATTACAGCGAATAAAAGTTGGCATTTCGCCAAGTTTTTCAGGTCAATTGTGATCAGTTCATTGAGATAATATTATTAAAAAACAATTTGGGCTCAATGCAACTATAAATGTCGTGTCAGTAAATCGAGTCGCGAAATTTTTCAAAAATCGCTCATATAACAACCGAAATTATGATATAAAACGAAGAATGTTAATTTTTCCAATTGCGGAACTAATAAATGAAGAATCTCAATGATCAAGCAAGAAGTAATAAATGCAACAGAGCCATTAGGACAAGCCAATACGCCTGAATCTCGCAATTAAGGGAAATGACAAGGATGGTATAATAATAACACCAAACACAGGCGCGACGGTACCTTGCTTATAAAAGCTGCTGTCGTGACAGGCAACCAAGTAGCTGCTCATTTCCGTGGCTATGTCAAGTCAATCGAATGCAAGACTTGCAGCGTGCCCTTGAAATGATCGGACACGTCTTGCAATACCAATACCAGTCAGTATTAACGCAGTCACGGTCACAAAAAAATTTACATGCATCATATTGGAAATGTGGGATCAATTTAAAAAAAAACCATTACCTACACGCCTTATATATCAAACAGGTCATAGGACTTTTCGGCCCAGACTGGGACCCATCATAGATACTCCACATACAACAGCAGCGAGAAGTGAAGGAGGTTCGCTGTCTGAGTCTGAAAGAAGGCCATTGTGCGTGACTCAAGGTCATGAGGTCATGCATGAATCTCGTCGGCCAAAGCAAATCGTTTTAGTGCATTGGCAAACCTCACAGAATCTCCACCATCACCACCATCACCATAAATTACCCTTCACTGAAATCAAAA